ATTTACACACATTTGGGGCCAAAGATTACTCACACACTTTGAGCTGATCATGTTCTGCTGAAGTGTGTTTTCTGTAATTGCTAATGCTCTTTTACACACACACTGAACAACATGAAGCATTGCTTGGTCACTGGTTGAGCTAAACTGGTATTATCTAATTGTGTAGTTAAATTTACCAGCTGACAGATATTCAACATAATTCATGTGTGAGAGTCTAACAGAAGGACGGACAAAACCAGTCAAATATCCACTGATCTGAGAACTGAGTTCTGCTCATGTTTATAAACTATAGCGAATCAACGCTGATGATGTGAGAAATGCTGAAGTGTCTGAATAAGTGTTGGTTTGACTGTAGAGTAGAAAAGGAGCTGTAATTGAACAGAGGAAAAGCTTGAGTAACTTGATGTGTTCCTGGTGTCCTGATCCGATCACAGTCTTGGCGCCCCAGCGCTGCTCCTTCTCCGACACGTCATTCTGGTGTGTGTGTGGGGGGTAAAGTGAGCCGTCAGAGGGGAAAACACACAAGCAAGGAAACTACAATATGAAGGTGGAATTAGACTAAATGACTAAAGAATGCGTAGATAGAAAGATTGTTTTATGTAATGCCATGTCAGCATCTAAGGCTATTTTCATGGCAAAACTTAAATTACAAAAACACAAATATCATATCGGCTAAATACAATAAAACCAGGCAAACAAACACATGTAGTCATATACACATTTTTTTAAATTAACATGATAAAATCCAAAACCTTTTCAGGCATAATCTTACTAAATAAGTTCTACTTGTAATAAACCCAGGACAGTCCAATGAAATATGTTTAACAGAGAGGACAAGTGTAAACATTCAAGACACAATAACTCTGATGAGTTGAGAGATTTTATCTTAAACAATCACAGTAATATTTCACTACACGCGTTTATTATCTATATTCCAGTGTTTAGGCTTGTTCACAGCAAAGATAAAGATGTAGCTCTAACTCACCAACAGCCAATCAGAATCCATCCTGCTGTAACGAGCTCAGCGATTAAGGAGACGATAAGCAGAAGGATATCGAGCGCTGCTGTGAACGCTGATATATTATCGGTATAGTTATCGATCTTGGTGTGAACGGGCCTTCACAGTGGTAACAACACGGGCCTTTGACAGGAAGTTAATGCAGGGGTTTTCAACCGTTTATGATCATCCTCATGCGAGGGAAAATTTAAAAGCATCTATCATTTACAAACACCCAATTTATACTCTGTAAAAAAAAAAAAAGTTAAAATGTAAGTTTCTATTAAGGTGCATTAATATGAATTTCTCTACTCACTACAGTAGTGTTATTTACTTATCTGTTTATTTAACTTTAATCTACTTTTTATTTATTTGAGTACATTTGTATTTATTTTAATCTATAAAAAATGTAATAACCAACTTAAAAAAAATCAAATTTTTTATTCCTTTATTTATATAATTAATCTCATTGTTTTATTGATCTATTTTTTGCCGTTTTCTCTGGACGCATCCCTGGCCCTGTCGGTCACCTGAGAACCCCAGTCGGTCCCCTGAGAACCCCCGTCGGTCCCTGAGAACCCCTGTCGGTCCCCTGAGAACCCCCGTCGGTCCCTGAGAACCCCTGTCGGTCCCCTGAGAACGCCTGTCGGTCCCCCGAAAACCCCTGTCGGTCCCCTGAGAACGCCTGTCGGTCCCTGAGAACCCCTGTCGGTCCCCTGAGAACGCCTGTCGGTCCCTGAGAACCCCTGTCGGTCCCCTGAGAACCCCTGTCGGTCCCTGAGAACCCCTGTCGGTCCCCTGAGAACCCCTGTCGGTCCCCCGAAAACCCCTGTCGATCCCCTGAGAACCCCTGTCGATCGCCTGAGAACCCCTGTCGGTCCCCTGAGAACCCCTGTCGGTCCCCTGAGAACCCCTGTCGGTCCCCTGAGAACCCCTGTCGATCCCCTGAGAACCCCTGTCGATCCCCTGTCTGTCCCCTGAGAACCCCCGTCGGTCCCCTGAGGGCCCGGTCTGAGAACCCCTGTCGTTCCCCTGAGAACCCCCGTCGGTCCCCTGAGGGCCCGGTCTGAGAACCCCTGTCGTTCCCCTGAGAACCCCCGTCGGTCCCTGAGAACCCCTGTCGGTCCCTGAGAACCACCGTCGGTCCCTGAGAACCACCGTCGGTCCCTGAGAACCACCGTCGGTCCCTGAGAACCCGTCAGTCCCCTGAGAACCCCCGTCAGTCCCCTGAGAACCCCCGTCGATCCCCTGAGAACCCCCGTCAGTCCCCTGAGAACCCCCGTCGATCCCCTGAGAACCCCCGTTGGTCCCCTGAGAACCCCCGTCGGTCCCCCGTCGGTCCCCTTAGAACCCCTGTCGATCCCCTGAGAACCCCCGTCGGTCCCCTGAGAACCCCTGTCAGCCCCTGAGAACCCCTGTCGGTCCCCTGAGAACCCCCGTCGGTCAACTGAGAAGGCCTGTCGGTCCCAGAGAACCACTGTCGGTCCGAGAGAACCCCTGTCGGTCCCCCGAAAACCCCTGTCGGCCCCTGAGAACCCCTGTCGGCCCCAGAGAACCCCTGTCTGTCCCCGAGAAGCCCTGCCGGTCCCCCGAGAACCCCTGTCGGTCCCAGAGAACCCCTGTCAGCCCCTGAGAACCCCTGACGGTCCGAGAGAACCCCTGTCGGTCCCCCGAAAACCCCTGTCGGCCCCTGAGAACCCCTGTCGGTCCCAGAGAACCACTGTCGGTCCGAGAGAACCCCTGTCGGTCCGAGAGAACCCCTGTCAGTCCCCTGAGAACCCCCGTCGGTCCCCTGAGAACCCCCGTCGATCCCCTGAGAACCACCGTCGGTCCCTGAGAACCCCCGTCGGTCCCATAGAACCCCTGAGAACCACCGTCGGTCCCTGAGAACCCCCGTCAGTCCCCTGAGAACCCCCGTCGGTCCCCTGAGAACCCCCGTCGGTCCCCTGAGAACCACCGTCGGTCCCTGAGAACCCCTGTCAGTCCCCTGAGAACACCCGTCGGTCCCCCGAGAACCCGTCGGTCCCTGAGAACCCCTGAGAACCACCGTCGGTCCCTGAGAACCACCGTCGGTCCCTGAGAACCCGTCAGTCCCCTGAGAACCCCCGTCAGTCCCCTGAGAACCCCCGTCGATCCCCTGAGAACCCCCGTCAGTCCCCTGAGAACCCCCGTCAGTCCCCTGAGAACCCCCGTCGATCCCCTGAGAACCCCCGTCGGTCCCCTGAGAACCCCCGTCGATCCCCTGAGAACCCCCGTCGGTCCCCCGAGAACCCCCGTCGGTCCCCCGAGAACCCGTCGGTACCTGAGAACCCCCGTCGGTCCCAGAGAACCCCTGAGAACCACCGTCGGTCCCTGAGAACCCCTGTCAGTCCCCTGAGAACCCCCGTCGGTCCCCTGAGAACCCCCGTCGATCCCCTGAGAACCACCGTCGGTCCCTGAGAACCCCTGTCAGTCCCCTGAGAACCCCCGTCGGTCCCCCGAGAACCCGTCGGTCCCTGAGAACCCCCGTCGGTCCCTGAGAACCCCTGAGAACCACCGTCAGTCCCTGAGAACCACCGTCGGTCCCTGAGAACCCGTCAGTCCCCTGAGAACCCCCGTCAGTCCCCTGAGAACCCCCGTCAGTCCCCTGAGAACCCCCGTCGATCCCCTGAGAACCCCCGTCAGTCCCCTGAGAACCCCCGTCAGTCCCCTGAGAACCCCCGTCGATCCCCTGAGAACCCCCGTTGGTCCCCTGAGAACCCCCGTTGGTCCCCTGAGAACCCCCGTCGGTCCCCTTAGAACCCCCGTCGATCCCCTGAGAACCCCCGTCGGTCCCCTGAGAACCCCTGTCAGCCCCTGAGAACCCCTGTCGGTCCCTGAGAACCCCTGTCGGTCCCCTGAGAACCCCCGTCGGTCAACTGAGAAGGCCTGTCGGTCCCAGAGAACCACTGTCGGTCCGAGAGAACCCCTGTCGGTCCCCCGAAAACCCCTGTCGGCCCCTGAGAACCCCTGTCGGCCCCAGAGAACCCCTGTCTGTCCCCGAGAAGCCCTGCCGGTCCCCCGAGAACCCCTGTCGGTCCCAGAGAACCCCTGTCAGCCCCTGAGAACCCCTGACGGTCCGAGAGAACCCCTGTCGGTCCCCCGAAAACCCCTGTCGGCCCCTGAGAACCCCTGTCGGTCCCAGAGAACCACTGTCGGTCCGAGAGAACCCCTGTCGGTCCCAGAGAACCACTGTCGGTCCGAGAGAACCCCTGTCGGTCCCCCGAGAACCCCTGTCGGTCCCGGTCTGAGATCCCCTGAGTGAAGGTGTTGTGTGTCTAACCTCAAAGTCGGGGTCCGTTTCCCAGTCGTCTCCTCCCTCATCCACTGCCACAGCGACAGACTGACCTGCGGATGCCTTCCACATCTGACACACACACACACACACACATTATACTCCTGCGGATGCCTTCCACATCTGAGATGAGCACACAAAAACACATTTACACTCCACAAAAACACATTATACTCCACTAAAACAAATGTGAGGCATCTGGTGACTGAAACGCATCAGATTCGCTCACTATTAAGGGTGTCACTCAACTGTGAACTCGCACAGGATGACGCCTATCTAACGTTAGGCTCCTAGATGGCGTTGGATCTAGTTAGTCATCATCCCTACACCTATCATTACTACAGAACTGATATTTCTAAGCAATATGTGACCACGCGACACATATACGAAGGTTTAACATCCACACATCAATGAAAACATCAAATAAAGCGAAAATAAATGTGAACTGCTGAGAAATCAGCGCTCGTGTTCTGATGCCCGAAGGGTTTGCGCGTCTCGCCTTTGATTTAAAACATGAATAATCACACCTTTAAACTTACGCTGCACTTCGATGGTCTTCTTAATGCAAGTATTAGGTAAATACGTCTTGATAATAGTTATAAAGAGAAAAGTCGTCAGTTTTCCTGGCCACCTTGAGTCCTCCACTTCCCACTTCCTGCTCCAGAAGGACCGCACCACCTGCGCCGGGAGCGAGGGACTCCGGAGCTTTCACAACCACTGAGGCTTTCTGCGTTTACTGCCATCAGCAACATCTTTAGTACACGTTATTTTATTTTTTATTATTTCATATGATATCAGAAAACCATTATCTGACTCAAGATCGGGCTGAGATAAACGTAACGCGAAGAAAAGCGGCGTTACTCACACAATTCCCCCTCCTCATATAATAGTACGACCGAACTGATACTGAACGGAATGAACAGCTCCACTGGCGCATTCCAGGTACAGGAATCCAAAGAGTCGATTCCATGAGTCGATCCGAACTAATATGTTCGAGCCATTTGTGACAGAGAAGTCTATTTTCAACGGGTCTCTTGTGTGCGAAGAACACTTTAGCTCACTTTTAAAAAAAAGTATTTGTTATGTAAATAATATAGTTTTAAAGAATATACTTCAGTGCGAACTGAATTATTTTCTGACACTTTAATTGTATGTTAATTGCAATTAAATGAAAATGTATTAGAGTTTGAATTTATATTAAACTAAATTAGCTAACCAGATAGCTTTTTTGACTCTCTTAGGTATGACAAGTTGGCATTAAAATAAAAAGTCTATTTTCAAATTTAAATTACGCTTTATGTGACTGCAGCAGCGCTGGCCATGTGACCAAAAGCACAAATCCCATTGGTTGGCCAGCTTTACCCACAGTGCGAAGGAAAAGAGATTAGAGCACTTCATCAACCAATCAAACATTTTTATTTATTTTTTTAGCTTTCATATTGCCGGTTAAAAAATTCCTCAAATCAAGACCGAAATGAATCTTGTCACAACACAGACGAAGATCTCTTCATATTATACGTCGAAGCTGTCAGAAGGTTGTGTGTTGCAAGACGGCTTACGATGTGATTTACAACAGAATCCTATTCGCATTTATTCTGCTGCTTGAAAATTGCAAACCATACTTTCAAAGCCTTGTTATAATGTAAGACATGAAAGTGTAGTTACAAAACCAGTGTGTGCGTACAAACCATCATCATCCTCATAACAGCTACACAAATGTGCTCTAAGTGCTAAATGTGCCTTAACATCAGTAGCCTTAACTAGCTCAGCAACAACACACGTGTGCAGGGCCTCAACACATTACACTGGCATGATTCAGCATGTTGCTTTTATATGTACCTTTTATAGCATGTTTAGCACATTGCTAGCTAACACCATTTTTACTCATTAGGGGCCAATCACTGAAGGTGTGTAGGCACCTCTTTTATATTCATTAGTATTCTCTTAATATTATTATTCCGCTTCTTCTCCCTCCGCTCTTGAAAGGTTTTGGTTTGTGAAGGATTTACTATTTCTTTTGCTTGCATCATTTGCCTGTTTCTGTATTTGGTCTATAAACTCTTCGCTTGTCAGTCTCAAAGGGCTAAACTTATTGCACTTCAGTTATAAACAAGGCAAGAAAAACCTCTTGAGATGAAACAAAGGAACAACCATCCTCCTCTAGTTTGATCAAAGTAATAAAACTAAACCTTGGTGCTCAAATTATTTTATACTACAATTATTTGTATCCAGTAGGGGAAAATGAAATCAAGTGAAAAATAAAGCTGCAAGCAGCAATTAAGAGGCCAAGCACAAAGAAGGCATGATAAGTCATGCCAGAAAAAAAAGGTTGCGCTTTAGCCAGTCTGATTTCAGGCAGCTGATAGAACCGCTTGTGGGAAAGTTATGGAATTTGGCACACAGATAGAGGACAGTCTGAAATGTCACTATTGCAAATTAAGAGTCTCTAACTCAATCGCTGTAGCGCCACCAACTGTCCAAAGTTGCACTTGTGTTTATTTTAATAACCTTTGAACCGTAAAGGCTAGAAACAAAATTATTTTTCCTCTGATTCCTTGGCTCAAGATGATTGGATTGCACGAACATCAAACCGTTCTCAAATACAGCGCAAACGAATTTGATGAAGGGCACGCCAAAATGAATGTGAGGCTAAATCTCTGCAACTGTTTCGCGTTTTCTGACCAAACTTGGTGTGTGTTATGACCCCCATGGCCTGAGGAAACCTGCACAGTTTCGGCGCAGTGCCATCTAGTGGTCAGGAGATATGAAACATTTACATTTTTGCTTATAACTTCTGAACGATTTGGCCAGAAATCACAAACCTGGTCTTTTTAGATTTGGTGCAGCAAGCCGAGCGATACCCAACTCTCTAATATCGAATGAATTTTGCTGGATACAATTTATGGATTTCGTGTCGATAGACAAAACTGTTTTCATATACCGAACCTACAAATTTGATTGCTAATGCCAAAACGACCCTGAGGCTGCATCTCTGCAATGCTTTGGCATTTTGACACCAAACTTTGCCTGTGTTACTGTCACCTTACTCTGACCACAACACATCCGACTGGCTAAAGCGCAACCTTTTTTTTCTGGCATGACTTATCATGCCTTCTTTGTGCTTGGCCTCTTAAAGGATAATTCCGGTATTTAACACTTTGAGTCTATTTTCTAGTTTGTTTTGGATGAACTAGAGTGGTGGACTTAGAAATTTTGACGATGGGTCCTGTCTCGACTTTTTTAATATTTTAGAATCGCCTCTGAGCGCTTCAGAGTGGATGTCTATGGGCATGCTCAAACATGTCCTTAAAACAACCCTTAACGTTCGTTTTCAAAACTGTGCAACTCACCGAGTGGTTAGTGGTGTTCGTTGATGATTAAAAACAAATATATCGGCGCAATGTATGCTTTCAATCCGTGTTATTTGCTATATTGGAACTATTTTTTCAGATACCTCACAACCGCGTATAAACTTCCGCTCGATATTTGAGTCTGAAGCGTTAGCACACCCCCGACCACTTGATGGCGACAACCACTTTGCCGCAGTTGCTCAGCTCACGCTAGCCTTCTGAGAGACGGAGAACCGAGCGAAAAGACTACAACCAAATGTAAACAGACCCCTTTCCGTTTCCGGTAGCGCAGTAATATCAACGAGCACTGAGTCCTCCAGCAGACATCAATGCGATTTAAAAAAATGGCTAATAAAACACGACAGAAACTGTATTTCGCTACGCTACTTGTTTTGGAACATCAACGAACACCACTAACCACTCGGTGAGTTGCACAGTTTTGAAAACGAACGTTAAGGGTTGTTTTAAGGACGTGTTTGAGCATGCCCATAGACATCCACTCTGAAGCGCTCAGAGGCGATTCTAAAATATTAAAAAAGTCGAGACAGGACCCATCGTCAAAATTTCTAAGTCCACCACTCTAGTTCATCCAAAACAAACTAGAAAATAGACTCAAAGTGTTAAATACCGGAATTATCCTTTAATTGCTGCTTGCAGCTTTATTTTTCACTTGATTTCATTTTCCCCTACTGGATACAAATAATTGTAGTATAAAATAATTTGAGCACCAAGGTTTAGTTTTATTACTTTGATCAAACTAGAGGAGGATGGTTGTTCCTTTGTTTCATCTCAAGAGGTTTTTCTTGCCTTGTTTATAACTGAAGTGCAATAAGTTTAGCCCTTTGAGACTGACAAGCGAAGAGTTTATAGACCAAATACAGAAACAGGCAAATGATGCAAGCAAAAGAAATAGTAAATCCTTCACAAACCAAAACCTTTGCTAATTATATGTAGCATCTGAACACGTGCATTGTTGACACACGGAGAGGACTTGTGCTCTTTTTGCTCCTATAACATTGCATTGTCCAATCAACTTGTCATCTATTCTGTTTCTTTAGCCTATTTAACACATAACAGTGATTATTACTGAAACTTGTGTTTGCAATAGGTCACCATTAATTTAACTCCTTAGTAAATAAACACTCTTCTATTGGAGGTTTTGACAGTTCTTTATTTCCTTTTATAAGGCTGATGGATCCCTGCATATATATATATATACACAATATATATATATATATATATATATATAAACACAAGAACTTGCTATATTGAGAGCTACACCAAGAAGGGGAGAAGGTAACATCATAAACAACACTGACAGGTAATCAAAAAAAAGAAGGGAAATGAGGAAATGTCTAACAGCACAACTGGATGACATTGAATGAGAAGGGAAGGGTGTTGATCGCAACTAAGAACCTGACCTAATAACTTAAACCTAATTTAAAAAAAATAATAATAATAAAAAAACAAAAAAACACAGATTTCACACACAGTGTATTTTAAATAGGTTAGGTGGAGAACCATTTACCATAAATATTTTTAAGGAACCAAGATATATATAAAAAAAGTGATTTATCAACAACAACAAAACATTGTTAGTCTCTCTTTTTAAATGTATTCTTTCTTTTCATTCTCTGCTTGATTTTCTTTTTTTCCCCTCTCCAAGGCCGACTTCTCCCAATAAAGGAAAAATGATCAAAGCCCAAAAGATACGAGTTAGTATAAAACTAACAAATGATTGGAACACCACAATCAACGCATCACAAAACAAACCCACAGACACACAACAGCAAAACACATTATCTTCATCCAAGAAACTGCTTCAGTGCGAGTCTTCTTCAGTTTTCCTCGGTGCTCGTACTGTATCAGCACAAGTAATGATCATCATAACCATCAGAATAACTTCACAGTGTGGTAGAGAGTGAGGTGAGAGCAGGAGAGCTTTGTAGAAGTTCACATCGGGAGAATTCAAACAAGATCATAATAACAAACAGAATTAGGAAACCCAATAGTTCATAGATAGTATACAAAAAATCGCCACGTTTAGGTGCTTGTCTTTCCCATCACACTGCTCTGGGAAGGCATTGATTGGCTAGAAATGGGACTAGATGGTCCGATGTATCGTTCAGATGAGAGAGAATGGCCATATGCTGACAGAAGTGACCTGACATGGTGTTTTCTCATCAGGGAAAGCGGATAGTAGCCAACAGAATAACGTGTGAGCGGTTAGGTTCGTTGCCGCAAGGCTCGCCTCTTCCTATTGTAGTAGTGGTGTAGGCCAGTCTGTCTGGAGTAGTTCATCATGTAGTTTTGTTTGCGAGTGCTGTGAAGAGGAAAACA